CTGCCGCGTCAACGGCCGCCGAACCCCCGAGACCGTGTGAATTATCCGCTCCACGGACCCGCTCTTTTCGCTCCAGGTTCGAGCACGCCCAATCCGTGCAAATACGGTGGCGGATACCTACCTACCTACCTACCTACCTACCTACCTACCTACCTACCTACCTACCTACCTACCGACCTACTTACCTACCTACCTACCTACCTACCTACCTACCTACCTACCTACCTACCTACCTACCTACCTACCTACCTACCTACATACATACATACATACATACACATACATACATACATACATACATACATACATACATACATACATACATACATACATACATACATACACATATACATCCACACACATACATCCATACATCCATACATCCATACGTGCACGCATGCATACACATCTACGTGCATACATGCATACATGCATGTACGCATGCATACATACATACATACGTCCATTTATACATACATCCATGCATGTGTACATACTTACTTACATACATACATACATACATACGTACGTACATACACACACATACATACACACATACACATACATACATACAAACACACATACATACATCCATACGTACACATACATACATACATACATACATACATGCATACATGCATACATGCATACATGCATACATGCATACATGCATACACACATACATACATATACACATTCATTCATGCATGCATGCATTCATGCATGCATGCATGCATACACGCATACACACTTGTGTGTATATATACATATGGGTTCGAGGTTTATATGCCGATACCGCGGGACAGATGGGGGATCTATACAACGAGGCGGATACCTAGTTTGACATATGCACGTACACATCGTATTCACATATATTTCTCGATATATACATATATAGATATATGTAAAAACCAGCATACATATAGATACCACACCTATATATAATACATGCATACTTACGTACAAACATACCAGAGAGAGAGAGAGAGAGGTAGAGAGAGAGAGAGAGAGCGACACGTAGACATACTGAGAGCGAGACACTGATATATATATATATATATATATATAATGTATATATTTATAGAGAGAGAGAGAGAAATATGCAGAAACATAGAAAGAGATGGGGGGATGGAGGGAGGCAGGTAAGGACAGGCATCACGGATGAAATATTACCTCGCCAGTCTGCACACATGGAGTTTCTCTTCCCAGAGCACGCGCGCGTGCGAACCCCGCGGGCGGAGAGGTAGGTGGCCTGAAAGGTGCCCTGGCTTGCGCTTCCTTCCTTCTCCCATAGGCATCAGAAGGACTGCCGTGTAAGTACGTATTCAACGGGGTGGTTCCTCCTCCATGTGGTCTTGTAATGAACCCTCGTTTGATTGAGAGGTTGGGTAGGACGAGCAGCCTAACAGCAATTCCAGCGATATCCGCCCAGGTGCAACATACTGCGAGATGTTATATCATCTGTGTGGTGAGCCGTGGGCGCTCCATCAGGTGGGGTCGTGTCGACTTCGTGGCCACCGACCAACTGTTGGGGTTGCTGCTGGCAACGCGATTCTGCTGCTGGAGGAGGAGGAGGTGGATGAGGAGGATGAGGAGGAGGGGGAGAGGTGAAAGAAGGAGGGGGGAAGAGGAGAGGGAGGAGGAGGAGAGGAGAGGAGGGAAGGAGAAGGTGGAGGAGGAGCGCAGGAGGAGGAAGAGGAGGAGGGGAGGAGGAGGAGGAGAGGACATGAGAAGAGGAGGAGGACGGAGGAGGAGGAGAAGGAGGAGGAGAGCGGCAGGAGGAGGGAGGAGGAGGAGGAGGAGGAGGAGCAGGAGGAGGAGGAGGAAGAGAGGGAGGAGGAGGAGGCGGAGGAGAAGGTGGAAGAGGGAGCGGCAGGAGAGGAGGAGGAGGAGCAGGAGGAGAGGAGGAAGAGAGGAGGAGGAGGAGAGGAGGAGGGAGGAGGAGGAGGAGGAGGAAAGATGGAGGAGGAAGAGGATGATGAGGATGAGAAGTAGGAGGAGCGGCAGGAGGAGGAGGAGGAGAAGGTGGAGGAGGAGCGGCAGGAGGAGGAGGAGGAGGAAGAGGAGGAGGAGGAGGAGGAGGAAAAGAAGGAGGAGGAAGAGGATTATGAGGACGAGAAGGAGGAGGAGCGGCAGGAGGAGGAGAAGGTGGAGGAGGAGGAGGAGGGGGAGGAGGAACGTTCCCAGCCCCCTGGGGTCCCTCCTGCGGTCTCCCGCCGGGCCGCTTTGCCGAGAGGCTGGACCCCGAGGGGCGGGAGCAGCTCGGCTTCGTCGTGGCCGCCTGGGGCACCGGCAGGCCAGCCGCCCCGGGAGGGTCTTCGCCGCCTCTGGTGCCGGTCGCCGCGGAGGACCCTGACCCAGACCCCCTCGAATCACGAACAAACCAGGACGGGGGGGCTATCTCGATGTTCGGCATCTGGGGGCCCTCACTGGAAGTCGGGACCGATCAAGAGCGACTCAGGATGAGAAGCAGGTCCCAGGAAATCGGTCGGGACCGCCGCGGGCCGACGTTCTGAAGCAAAAAGCATGACTGGGGGTCTGGGGTGATCTGGGCGTGGCATGGGGCATACCGCGTGTTCCGTGCAGCAGAAAGAAGAGGGCCAGTCACCCGGTTGTAATGTTTCGCGATCTTGCCTCTTCTTTTGTGCAGCGTCGGATCTCAGGGGCGGAGGAGAAGGGCCCTGAGAATGCGAGGTTCGCCGGATTGCTCGCGTGTTCACGGCGGCTCTTGCGGCCTCGGGGCGCGTTCGATCAGCTGCGCCTCGCCGAGGGCGTTGCGGGGGGGTGGGGCAGGCGTCGTCCTGAGTCGGACGCCGGAGGCCCGCGTTGCGGCCCGAGAGCCCGGCCCCGTCCCGCCCTGAAGGGAAAGAGGCCTGAAGGAAGCGGGGCCTGGGGCTCGTCGCCGTTTTCGGCATCCCCTGGGACCTGCCGCGAGCCCCAGGGCCAGCCAAGAGCGGCTCGAGGTATGACATGAAGGGCCGGTCCTGGGGGAAGGCCCTCGCGAGCCAGAGTCTGACTAGGACACGCTCTCCTCGTGCCAGGCCGCCACCGCCCACGCCCAGGCCGCCGCCGCGGACTTTTTTGTCCTGGATGCGTGCCGGGGGCGCCAGAGAACCAGCTGCGCAGGCTGATTCGCGAGCCCCTGTTCGTCCGACCCGTCCGTCGTCGATATGTGGCATCGCCGAAGGCAGGGTGGCAGGGCCGCGGGCAGCCGTGCCGTCGGGGGAAGACGACGTCGTCGCCGCCGTCGTCGTCGTCGCCGCCGTCGTCGCAGTCGTCGCCGGAGGGGCAAGAGCGGGCGTAGTAGCAGGACAGGGAGGAAGAGGAGGAGGAGGAGGAGGAGGAGGAGGAGGAGGAGGAGGAGACTATTGAGCCCCCGACCCCCTTTGTGTTGAGACGAGGGGTGCTCGGCAGGACAGGCGGTTGTAGGACTACCTTCATCAACCGTTAGCAGCAGGAGGAGGAGGAGGAGGAGGAGGAGAAGCAAAAAGGAGAAGGAGGCGGAGGAGGAGGAGGAGGAGGAGGAGAACAAAGGGGGAGCAGGAGCAGGAGCAAGAGGAGCAGGAGCAGGGTTGGCCCCGGGGACCGGGACCCGTTTCTGCCAGGACCCATCTCCCAAGCCGCTGCCGTCGTCGCCGTTCGAGGATGAGGAGGAGAAGGATTATGATGATGTTGATGATGAGGAGGAGGGTGATGAGGATGAGGATGAGGATGATGATGATGACGATGATGATGCTGGTGATGATGATGAATATGAGGATGATGATGAGGATGATGATGCTGGTGATGATGATGATAAGTATGATGATGAGGAGGATGAGGATGCTGATGAGGATTATTGATGGTGCTGATGATGATAATGATGATTATACTGATGATGGCGATGATGATGATGATGCTGATGCTGCTGGTGATGATGATGATGATGATGATGACGATGATGATGATGATGATGATGATGATGATGATGATGATGATGATGATGATGATGATGACGAGGAGGACAAGGAGGAGGAGGAGGAGAAGGAGGAGGAGGAGGAGGAGGAGATGGAGGAACAGAAACACCTCCCCGCGCGTGCGCAGCCGCTTCGCCCCCGAGGGCTTTGGCGAAGACCGGTGCTGAAGTGAGAGGTACAAACCGGCACAACCATCAGCCGTCGGAGGTCCGTGCGGCTTCGCTGAGCCGGCGCTGGACCCCCCGTGGCGCGCTCCCTCGGCGCGCCAGGGAGGCGGTGGCCCAGCGCCGACCCGAGAGATCCGCACGGACCACCAAACGTTTGACCAGACATGCGCCGTCCTGGTTCTGTTGACACCCACACCAAGGTCGGCGGTGTGTCTCCACCGAGGGAAGGCGATCCCGATCTCGGTGATGGTGGTAATATTCTGGCTTCCAGGGTGACCGAAACATGACCAGCAACACCGAAATCTAGGATCATCTTCCCCATGTGGAGGCAACCCCCTGTGCTGGTGTTGGTGCCAATTTCCAGCCCTCCAACACTACGCGGTCCGCGGAAGTCCCGGCCCTTTCCCCAGGGCCAGTTTTGGCCGGTGGTTCCTCCCGAGCTGGTGTTTCACGGTCCCGGGGCCCGGCGAGGGCCTACGGGCGCCGAGAAAAACGACCGAGAGCTTCCCGTCGTGTTCTCCACGGCCTGAGCATGTTTGGTTATGTTTGTGCCGAGTTTTCTTCTTCTGCAGCTCTAGGCCTCCCGAATGGGGTCGGAGTCAATGGGCTCGAAGGATGGGTCCGCACCGCCGATGCATCGGCGATGCGGCTCGATGCGGAGCCTCGGTTTCTCCACGCCGGTGGCGCCGGTGCATCGCCGACGCCGCCGATGGATCGCCGACGTGTCGCCGATGCAGCACCGACGCACCGCCGATGCGGTGCCGTCGCCCGACCCCATTTGAGGTCGGACCGAGGTATAAGGTCGAGGTCGGTTCGGGGAGGGCACTCTGGGCTTTACAATAAGCGTGGGGGGGGTACCCCCCCAACGGGGGTCAACCTCGCCTCGTCGTCGTGCCGCGACTGGGGTCGGAGCGCATGCGGCGCGCGGTGGCTGCCCGCGACGGGGGCCGACGTGGGCCTGTCAGCGGCGGCGACGCCCCCCCCGACGCTTCCTCCGAAGCTCGGTGTGCCCTGATGTGTTTGTCCTGCTGGCTGGACGCCAGGCCCGACCGCACTCGGACCCCAGCTGGGGGGCCTCCGGCAGCAGACCCCGACCCGCGCGCGCGATGGCCTCCCCGTGGGGCGCCGCCCTGCTCGGCGGGGAAAAGCCCGGCGCGGCGGTGGGAGGCGCGGCCGCCGGCTGCCGGGCCGCCGCGCGGAAGCAGGCGGCGAGCAGGCTCCTGCCGTCCGCCCGCCTCGAGCGGCCGCCGCCGCCGCCGCCGACGACGAAGGCGGCGGCAGCGACGATGATGGCGCGATCGGGCCACGCCGCCGCCGTCGCCACCCCGCCCCGCGCCACCCCCTGCTCCAGCGGATGGTTGGGCCGTCGGGGCAGGAAGAGGAGGAGGAGGAGGAGGAGGAGGAGGAGGAGGAGGAGGAGGAGGAGGAGGAGGAGGAGGA